TTTGTCCTCCAGCCTTCCCGCTTTCTGAGCAGAGCTGTTAACTTATGACCTCCCAGCCGCTAAGTCGCGCTTGCTGTCGGAACACAGTCCGTCAGGCCCCTCCGCTTTTTGCAAGCCAGACTTGGGGGCTCTGCTTGGCCGGCGAGCCGCCCCTCCGCCCCGGCTCCCTCCCGCCAGTCCGTGGAGCGCGCACCGCCTCGCCGACCTTCCTACCCTCTTCCGTGGGCCTCTCGTCTGCGCTTGGCTCCGGCGACTCCATTCTGCTAATCCTCTGGCGGTTTTCTGGGTTATTTAGGCAGGTGTAGGTGGAATCTAAGTGATCAGCAGGACGCGCGGTGAGCCCAGCGTCCTCCTACGCCGCCATCTTCCCCGACTCCTTATTTAATTTCTGAAACCAAGGGTAGATTGGTATGTATATAAGACCTTCAGAGGAATCTACCAACTGCAACTGTAGAAATTATTTTTTCTTTTAAAAAAATGTTTTAAAAAATGTTAATTTTAATTTTTTAAATGTTCATTTTTGACAGAAAGAGAGAGCTTGAGTGGGGAAGGGGCAGAGAGAAAGAGGGAGACAGAATCCCAAGCAGGTTCCAGGCTCTGAGCTATCAGCACAGAGCTCACTGCAGGGCTTGAACTCATAAACGGCAATATCGTGACCTGAGTCGAAGTCAGATGCTTAACTGACAGAGCCACCAGGTGCCCCAAATGTTTGTTTATTTTGGAGTTAGAGACAGCAGAGCAAAAGCCTGGGAGGAGCAGAGAGAGAGGGAGACATGGAATCTGCAGCAGGCTCCAGGCTCTGAGCTGTGAGCCCAGAGCCTGACGTGGGGCTTGAACCCATGAACAGTGAGATCATGACCCGAATATAGTTGGACGCTTAACCGACTGAGCCACCCAGGTTTCCCTGGAAATTATTTTCTTACTGCTAATTCTTTTTTATTATTAATTCTTTTATCACTTCCTTTCAAAATTAAAACACACATGCATACCTATGCCCTGAAATCTTGGAGTATTAAATTATAGGCCTCAGAGAAATACCTTACTGTGTGTAAATGATTTTTTTATGGTTTTTTTAGATTGAGAGGAAGGAAATAGACAAGGTAGTTTATTTCTCATTTGAGAAACTATTTTTAAAAAAAATTTTTTTTAACGTTTATTTATTATTGAGAGACAGACACAGAGCATGAGCAGGGGAGGGGTAGAGAGAGGGGGAGATGCAGAATCTGAAGCAGGCTCCAGTCTCTGAGCTGTCAGCACAGAGCCTGATGTGGGTCTCAAAGCCACAAACTGGGAGATCATGACCTGAGCCAAAGTGTGTTGTCTAACCAACTGAGTCACCCAGGCGCCCCGAGAAACTATTCTTATTATAAACCTGTCTCTTTGTAATGAAAATATAAGAACTGTAGAACATGGAGATACTTTTAGGAAAGGCTTCATTATTTTTTAACATGTTTAGATTGGCAAATTATGGACCTTTAAATAAAATGTTTGAAAATTGTTTTTCTCTAAAAATCGTAGATGATTAGTCTCTAGCCAAGTCCATCTGTTATCCTGATAGTTGTATATGGTTTCTGTTATGTATAGGAACGTGTCAAATGTGAAGGTGACATTACTATCCATTTTTTAAAAGACTTTTTAAATATTTTATTTTTGTAGAGAAATATTAGGTTCATCGTGATATTAATAGGAAGATACAGAGTTCCCATATACCCTCTGCCCCCATATCTGTGTAGCCTCCCCCATTATCAGCATCCTCTACCAGAGTGGTACATTTGTTTTAATTGATGAATCTGTATTGACACATCATAATCACCCAAAGTTCATGGTTTTCCACAAGGTTCACTTCTGGTGTTGTATATTCAGTGGACTTGGACAAACGTATAATGACCTTTATCCATCATTATAGTATTGTACAGAGTAGCCTCACTGCCCTAGAAGTTCTCTGTTCCACCTATTGATTCCTCTTCCTTTGCAAACCTGAAGCAACCAGTTATCTTTCTATTGTCTCCATAGTTTTACCTTGTTCAGATGTCATATAGTTGGAATCATATAGTATGCACGCTGTGTAGTTTTTTTCAGGTTGGCTTTCTCATTTAGTAATGTGCACTTCAGGTTCCTCCACATCTTTTTATAGCTTGATAGCTCTTTTCTTGTTAGTACTGAGTAATTTTACATTGTCTGAATGTACCACGTTTATTTATTTATCTATGAAGGACGTTTTAGTTCTTCTAAATATTAGCAATTATGAATTAAGCTGCTATAAACATCCATATGCAGACTTTTGTGTGGACATATTTTCAACTCCTTTGGGTGAATACCAAGGAGTACATTTCCTGGATTTTATGGTAAGAGTATGTATATTTTTTTTATTTTTTTAAGTTTATTTATTTGGAGAGAGAGAGAGAGAGAGAGAGGGAGCAGGGGTGAGGCAGAGAGAGAGGGAAAGAGAGAATCCCAAACAAGCTTCATGCTATCAGTGCAGCGCCCAATGCAGGGCTTGAACTCATAAACCATGAGATCATCACCTGCGCCAAAATCAAGAGCCAAACCCTTAACTGAGCCACCCAAGTGCTCCAGATTATGTTTAATTTGTAAGAAACTGCCACACTGTCTTCTAAAGTGGCTGTACTATTTTACATTCCCCGTGTAGCAACCAATTTCCAGCAGTGAATGAGATTTCCTGTTCCATTTCTGCATTTTCTTCCTGTTCTATTTCTTCCTGTTCTTTATCTGCATCTGGTGTTGTAGGGTTTTACAGATTTTGGCCATTCTAATAGGTGTTTAGTGGTATCTTGTTTTTTTTTTTGTTTTTTCTTTCTTTCTTTTTTTTTTTTTAAAGAGAACGAGCACCAACAATCTCAAGCAGGCTCCACGCCCAGCACAGAGCCTGGTTCGGTGGCTCATTTTCATGACTTTGAGATCATGACGTGAGCTGAAATCAAGAGTCAAACACTCAACGGACTGAGCCACCTAGGTGCCCCAAGTGGTATCTTGTTTTAACTTGCATTTCCTTGATGACATATTGATCATTTGCCATCTATGTGTTTTCTTTGATGAGTTGTCTGTTAAGGTTCTTTGGCACATTTTTCTTAATTAAGTTACTTATTTTCTTACTGAATTTTAGAAGTTCTTTGTATATTTTTCATAACAGTCCTTTATCAGGTCTTTTGCAAATATTTTCTCCTAATCTGTGGCTTAGTTTCTCATTTTCTTTAAAAAAATTTTTTTTTTTTTCAACGTTTATTTATTTTTGGGACAGAGAGAGACAGAGCATGAACGGGGGAGGGGCAGAGAGAGAGGGAGACACAGAATCGGAAACAGGCTCCAGGCTCCGAGCCATCAGCCCAGAGCCTGACGCGGGGCTCGAACTCACGGACCGCAAGATCGTGACCTGGCTGAAGTCGGACGCTTAACCGACTGCGCCACCCAGGCGCCCCTCTCATTTTCTTAACAGTGTCTTTCACAGAGCAGAAGGTTTTCTAATTTTAATGAAGTCCAGCTTGTCAGTGATCTCTTTCATGGATTGTGCCTTTGTATTGCATTTAAAAAAAATCACCTCCATACCCAAGTTCATCTAGTTTTCTCCTATATTATCTCCTAGGAATTTTATAATTTTGCATTTCGCATTTAGGTGTATAATCTATTCTAATTTAATTTTTGTGTGTAAGTTCTGTGTCTAGATGCATTTTTTTGTATGTAGATGTCCACTTGTTCCATCACCATTTGTTGAGAAGACTGTCTTTGCTCCATTATGTTGTCCCTGTTCCTTTGCCAAAGATCATATGTCTGTCTTTATGGAGTCTAGTTCTGGGTTCTGGGTTTTGCTTACATGATTTATTCATCTATTCTTTTGCCAAAACCAAACTGTCTTGATTACTGTAGCTTTATATTAATCTTCAAGTTGGGTAGTGTCAGTCCTTCAATTTTGTTCTTCTTCAGTATTATGTTGGCTATTCTTGGTCTTTTGCCACTCCATATAAACTTTAGAATCAGTTGACATCTACAAAATGTCTTGCTGTAATTTTGACTGGGATTATATTGATTCTATAGATCAAGTTGGGAGATACTGACATCTTTACAGTATTGAACCTTCCTATCCATGAGCAGAATATCTCTCCATTTATTTAGTTCTTGGATTTTGTTCCACAGACTTTTGTAAGTTTCTTCATGTAGATCATGTTTTGTTCTATTTATACCAGTCTCATTTTTGGGGTGCTGATGTAAATGATAGTGTGTTTTTAATTTCAAATTTGACTTATTATTGGTATGTAGGAAAGGGATTGACTTTCATATATTAACCTTGAATCATGCAACTTTACTATATAATTGCTTATTAGTTCCTGGAGTTTTTTGATCTTTCTTTATTTTCTACATAGATAATCATGTCATGTGCAGATAAAGGCAGTTTCATTTCTTTCTTTGAAATTCTTATGCCATTTATTTCCTTTTTAATGTCTTATTGCACTTTTCCCCACTATTAGTTGGTGATCATTACCATTTTTATTCTCCTTTCTGTGAAATCTATGTTAAAATTTTCTTCATTGTATTTGTTCTGCAGCTCACCAAAGCTCATCGACAAGGACACATGGTGAAAGTAGACTGGCTGGACAGATTGACATTTAGAGAAATAGAAATGATAAATGAGGTGGGTTGTATCCCTCGTTTTTTGCATTTTGTTTTCTTACAAAATATTTTTTCCATATTTCTAACTCAAACTTTGTTTTTTTTTAACTTTATCTTATTATGAGAGAGCATGTGCATGTGTGCATGAATGGGGGAGGGGCAGAGAGAGAGGAAGATAGAATCCTAAGCATGCTCTGTGCTGCCAGCATGGAGTTCGACTTGGGGCTTGATCCCAGGAACCATGAGATGGTGACCTCAGCTTAAGTGACTGAGCCACCAGGCAGCTCTCTAAGTCAAACTTTTTGAGAAGCATTGTTTATTGACAGATAACTTACAAATGTGAGAGCATTGAGGATAACCTGTAGTTGTGAGTTCTATGGTAATAATTGGGAAATTTGAGATACCTGTTTTTCTTTAATTTTAATGTTCTCTCAAACCATGAAGTAGGTATAAGTTATCCTTAGTGTACTGACTATTATACAAGTGAAGCCTGTGTTAAACTTGATGCCTCTTTTGGGTGTTCTCTTTCTCCATTTGGCAGCATATATTTATGTTCAATTCAGTATTGGATTCTTTCAACCCAGTGCTACCTGTTTATTTCAGTAATCTTAAGTCATTGTTAGTAATTCTCCCCAGTTAAGATACAGTGTGTATTATGTACTATGTACAGCACTCTGCACCCTTTGTAAAGTTACATGGTTCAAAGTAATTTGTTTGTTTTTTAATCTTGTTTACTGGCCCAAAATATGTTTAATTAAAAGATGGCTTCCGTGAAACTCCGAAAGTTAGAACAAAATTTTCTTTTTTATATATTTGCACTGACATACTACATGTTTGGCCTAACATTCTGTGTCTGGGTAATAGAGAGAACAATTATTTTAATCACATTAGGAGAGAGGAATTTCAATTTTTGTGATATGCCTAATTTACTGTGATTACCACAGGGTAATAACTGACTTATTTTTTATTCTGTGAATGTTTTTTTAGCAGGTTGAAAGAGAGAAATTTTTAATTTACAATGAACACTTATAAAAGTTAAATTCTACTATTGTTTATTTAAAAAAAATGAGTGTTTTGTTTAACAATACTTACATTCAGTATGAATAAACTGGGCATCTTTTCTAAATTTATTCATAACACATTTTCATATTGAAACTGAAAGAAAAATTTATTTTTTGAATTTTTATAATAGTTACATTCCTAAAATAGTTAAATCAAAGTGTTTTCATTTTTCTGTTCTTCAACTTAGATACCCTTGAGTGTAGAAGAAGCTGTGTCACAGCTTACTTTGTCCAGCCTTACTCACCTTCCCTTCTTTAAAAGATAGGAGAGCATTGCCATTACCATAATTAGACTATTATATGCTTCATAAAGCTGAACAATTTAAGTGACTTCTTTAGACCTTTATGATTTTATACATACAGATTTAATACCATTTTTAAAACTGGGTTAAGACTTATCACCCTTTTAGACTTTATTTTCACTTTATTATTGTCCTAGTGTTTGCTTTTTCCTTAAGAGGACACATTTATACATGCAATATTTTTTTATGTTGGGGAAAAGTAACTATTTCCCAGTATATTTAAAGTATATTGATAAAAATGTATAAATGATTGCCAGTTATCTTAAGACCATTTGTGAATTGTGAATAACTTGTAAAGGTTGTATCTGGGAAGCTCAAATAGCTTCTGTTTTTAATGATATACTTTACTTAATTTACATACTTAGACATATGGTTTAAGGATAAACAGTTATTTGCTTAAATTAGAAGTCCAAAACATCTTTATTTCTGAAATAAAATAGTTTTCGTGAAAATGTATATAAAATACCTTCCAAGATTTTATATAATATAATCCAACTAGAATAAACCAAAAATGTCATTGACTTTGAGGAGGGAGTTATAGGAGAATAGTAGACACTACTTTATAAAACAATGGTGCTATATAAAATAAAAACGGTGTGTTTATAATAATGCAATAAAAATTTACTACATTTTAAGTTGTACTTGATAGGTCATGTATTCCTGAATTGGAAATAATGATGTATTACTGATCCTTTAAAGGAATGTTGAAGATCATTATTTTTCATAAAAATCTTTTTTTTTTTTTTTAGAGTGAAAAAAGAAGTTCTAATTTCATGTACTTGATGGTTGAGTTTCGATGTGTCAAGTGTGATGATAAGGAATATGGTATTGTTTATTATGAAAAGGTATTTGTCTTGGAACTGTTTATAGTCTCTGAAGTAGAGGGGAGGGGAAACATTAAAAAAAATTACTGTTGTACCTGCTGAGATGAATTATTTGGTTGCAGGATAGCAGCAGACAGCTGTCAGCCGCAGCTGTTTGTGTATACACAAATCAGATCATATAGCTACAACAAGATTACAAAAACCGATCATTCATGTAATGGAGTTCTGGGTTCCAGAATTCAATAAATATGCAACAGATTAAAAACTTTTTGATTAATTGTTTTGTAAATTGACAAGTAGGACATTAAAGCAATAGCTTTGTTAACAATTGATATTCATTTGAAAAATAAAAAGAATAATTTTTTTAAGTGATAAGGTGTTGAAAATTAAGCGTATACTTCTTATTTGAGTAAGCATATATAATGTGTTGGAATTTTATATGTGATCCTTACATAAGTATGCTAATGAAAGCCATTCTAAATATGTATTTTTTATATATAATTAATGCAGAATTAAGAAAACCATGTTATCTGACTGAGGGATAACAAGTACGCACTTATGGATTTGTTCTGGTCTGCTCATTATGCAGAAGAAAGTACGTGTATGTTTGATATGTAGCTAGATGAAAAATATCTGTGCCTTTAATGCTTGTTGAAGGGTCTTAATTTAAGCACTATAGAAATAATTGCATGCATAGTTCAGAACTACGTAAACCAGGTATTATTGTGGAAATACTTAGGTGCTTAAATCATCGTGGGTGAGGACAGACTTTTTGATACATGGCATAATAGAATAATATTTCTTCTAGTATATAGTTATATGCAGTATATTTGTTTATTAGAGGCAGCACTTCTAAATTATATTTACGCTCTAGTGTTATTTATTAAAGCTGTCTCAGTGATTTTTGAAAATATACATCTTTTTATAACTATAAATTATTTGAAAGATCTTTTTATAATGGAGTTTTAAGGTTTATATAGTTCATTTATGATCATTTTTTTGATACTTTTCAAGTTAACATATATCTTTTTCTCTTAGGCTTGTACCCCTTCTCTTTAATAAAAGGTTAGGAAAAGTTAACTTGTTTCAGCTTTTTATTTTATAAATGATAGTCTTTGGTAAAAAGACATTAGGAAGGTAGACTATTTAACATTGTTTATTAATTCATTAGAAAAACTGCATTAAAAACAGTGGGAAATACAGATGAGTGAAATTATTTTGTCACTAATACACTTTAATAAACTCACATTTTACATTTTATACTATATCTCATATAATTTAAAGCATTATTTCCTGCCCATGTGGAGTTTATATTGCAAAAACATGATAATGGAAATGGTACTTTCAAACATAAGAGATGTGAAGAATCTTTTGAGAGACAGCTTTGATAATAGATGAAATAATAACAGAACAAAAATTAGAAGAATTTCAAGTATTTTTGAAAAGGTTCTTGACCCCTTTCTACTGCTTCTTGAAAATTGCTCATAAATTAATGCTTGTCTACCTACCCTGTCATATTTCCACTTAGTGTAAAGATTGCTGGGCCAGTGTATTGAATCTAATGGAAATAGACTTTCTTGTCACCTGTCTTTTGTGACAGATAGCCTTAGTGAAGATTACTTGTCACAGTTGGGCTGATAAATGTGTCTTCTGGTATTGTGACTGAGAACCAGCCTGTTAAACAACGGCTGTGGGAATTTGTGGTTTTCTGTAAGACTCAATTATTGAACTAAAGTCCAGTCACAGTACTTCCCCTATTTCAGTCTCTCCTGGTTTTGTGCACATTATCTAACAAAGGAAATACTAGCATTTGGAAATTGACAGAAAAACTTGATCCAAGATGTACAGTTAGGAGGAAATGAATTTTGCCCTTAATTAGTTTAGCTTTTCCCACTATGTACACAGTGACATTTATTATGCTGAATTACCTCTCTTGCCTGATTTGGATAAAAATAAAAGCCAATACTCTTCAAAAATGATAATACCAACAAAATAAGGCAGCTTTATTTCTTAATAATTGATGGATTGATTCTTTTTATTCAGGTTTGCATTGCATTGAGGAGGTGTCCCTCTAAGAAGCAATGCTGCTGAGTCTCTGTGTATAAAGTTCAGCAACATTAACTCCACACCTAAAATTTGACTTCTTTGAATGGAACTTTATTGTGATAATTTGAAAAGTTACCAACATCTACTCAGTAGTTTTTGCAAATAATGCAACACATCCCTTGTGCATTTTATTCATATTTATACTATTATATTTTAATTATACTTTGTGGTTTCTTGTTTTAAGTTGGAAAATGAGGACATACTAATTTTGACCCATTATCATTATAAACAATTAAAAAAACTTACAAAAACAATCTACTAATTTCTATATCTAATATATCTAAAAACTGTAACAACTTTTTGTTAGATTTTATTTTTCCCAAAGTATTTCCTCAGCAACAACAGATAAAAAATGGATATGTATTTTAAAATACAGTTGAAAGAAGAAACTTTTTTTTAAAAGGGAGGAATGATGTTCATTAAATAGAATTAAAATACATAGGATGTGTATTATCATGTATTATTTTTTACTATTTGGTTAAATTTTATCTGTTTTTTAACTTACTACACTGTAACCCAGGATGGTGATGAGTCATCTCCAATTTTAACAAGCTTTGAGATAGTGAAGGTTCCTGATCCTCAGATGTCTATGGTGAGTTATTGTCAAATTTCTTATGAAAGTGTGTTTCTCCACAGTGATTATGACTTGGATCCACACATACACTTTCTTTTAAAAAAGTATGTAACTAATTCAGACACCTAAAAGTAATTCATAAGTCCATTTTAGCTATCTGGAGTCAAGTTCAGTGAACTTTTACAGTATCAACACCTAAAAATAAGGTCAGGAGAGTATAGTATTGGGGAACCATTTTATTTGATTATTGGAAGAGTTAGGGAATGTAGTCTTGAGAACTTAGGGAACAGGTATTTGAAAGGTTGTCGTCATGTGGAAGGGGAGTTTGTTTATACTGGAATGAAACTGTAGGCTCAATGGATAATTATAGGGAGACTGATTTTGTTGGAAAATATGGAAGATTGTTGTAGCTACAAGAACTTTTTTATTTGGATCATGGTGACGTGGATGATTTTGAGAGATACCTACATATGGAAGTTTGAGATGATAGCACTTTCAGGGATAGGAAACAGGAAGAATTCTTACTTTGTACCAGAGGATTAATTAGATGACTTTAAATTTAGAAAGTTTCAGGCAAAAAATACTTTTAGTAGCATAATGGATACCATGATATTCACACTTAAAACTCCTTTACATCACTCTGAACCATCTTATTCATATTTTTTTTACCTTTCTAATTGGATTAGTTACCTTCCTAATCAGACCAAAGTGGATTAAAAGTGGCATATTAGAAGATAAAAACATGATGATAGAGGTAAATACACATCATTAAAGCAGGAAGTAATAACTGATGGCCCAACACCAAAGGAAGAGATGGCAGAAAAAAAGCATAAAAATTAGGGAAAAAAAGGTCACTTGCAAATCTTTTAGAAACAAACATCCTGAATTCCTTCACAGTCCCTATGCATAGTATAATAAGTTCGAGTTAATATGTCTAAAATTGAAACTGAATTTTCATTATAAGATGATATTATATATATTATATTTTTTATTCTGGATATTTGAAACACATGAATGGACATATTTTATGCTTACCTTCAAAGTAGCCAACAGTAAAAAAGATTTTTGGGGGCACCTGGGTGGCTCAGTCCATTGGGCACCCTGTGTTGGGCTCTGTGCTGACAGCTCAGAGCCTGGAGCCTGCTTCAGATTCTGTGTCTCCTCCTCTCTGCCCCTCCCCTGCTCATGCTGTCTCCCCCTGTCTCTCAATAGTAAATAAACATTTAAAA